AAAAAAAAAAAAAAAAAAAAAAAAAAAAAAAAAAAAAAAAAAAACAAAAAACAACTTTGACCACACAGTTGGCAACATTTCCCCCAAGTTGCGAACGCCCTTATTAATGAGGAGTCCTCCATCTGACCCTGGGCCCCTGATAATGCTGTTGACAGTTGCTCTCTTTAAAATCCCTGGCGAACGCTAGTTATTTTGTTCCCCGCTGTCCTAGGAGTCTTCTGTCCCTTATGCACTTCATCGTAAGTGTCTATGGCTAATCCCACGGAGCTCCTTCTGTAGAATGCTCAGTACCCAGTGGCAAGACTTTCAGGGTTTTACAGTCACTTGTTGGCTGTTCAAGTAAATGCATGACTGTGCCCTGATGCCAACACCACACACAGCAGCTAAGGGGCAACCCGAGAAGTGAGTGTGTAAGCAGTTAACATTTCCACCCAGCCTCAGTTCTCTCAGCTCTGTGAGCCTCACTTGCTACAGCTTACCTGGACTTTGGAATCTCCAGAAAAGGAGATTCGTCACTGCCATGCACGCCCATCAGCCATGTGGCAGGCTACATTCGTATCTCTACGAGGGCAGGGTCAGCTTGGCCCAGCTTGATTAAATGGACCCTGAAGGGCGATCAACAACTATTTCTGACTTGCCCTCCTAGGTTCAGACTAGACCCACCTCCCACTGTCCATCCTCAGGCAAGCAAGGAAGAAGCAGTGATGAGGCCAAGTGTCACCTTCGTTCGTGCCCTCCTGGTCATCGCCTGACTGTTAGTTGTCTCTTATGAAAATAGCTTTCTTTCTAAGTCACAGATGGGTGTGAAAACCGGGATCATCACCGATAGTAAAAACCTAGTTGGTGAGGGTTTATGTCCTTCCGTATCCAAAAGCCAGAGAGCTTTTGGCTTGTCCTTGAAGGTCATCATTATCTCAGCAGATAAGAGGTAGCAGAAACATATTGTCAAGAAGGACCCTTTGAAGCAGGAAGATGTAAGGATTTTTTGAGACATGGCTTCTCTGTATAGTCTTGGCTATCCTGGAATTGCTTTGTAGACCAGGCCAGACTCGAACTCACAGAGATCCACCTCCCTGTGCCTTCCCAAGTGCTGGGACTACAGGCATGCACCACCTCGACTGACTGAAGATATAAATAGTAACGCCCTCTTTAGCCCATCTCCTCTCCCCAGTGATTACAAATTACCCACTAATTCGCTTGGTGGCACCTGGGAAGCGGCAGGACTTTGATGTGGATGATGACATCAGGTATAATATTATTTATTCAAATATCATCATGCTGTAAAGTTTTTCATAAGTCATGTGGGAAAGTATTCGATGTTTTCTGTTTGTTTGTTTGTTTGTTTGTTTTGTTGTGTTTCTGTTTCACTTTGTGTTTTTGAGTCCAGGCTTGCCTTAAACTCGTATGTACCACGCTGGCCACAAACTCCTCATCCTCCTACATCCCTTCCCAAGCTCTGGGACTGCAATCATGCTCCACCATGCCTGCTAGAAGGAGAAAGATGAATTGCTACTAACTCTAATATAAGAGAGCTTCAGCTAACCAAAATCTCACTTTTTGGGGGTAAAAAAAAATATAGCATAAGGTGAGGAAGAGCCTACATTTAAAGTCCAGTATTCAAACCCAATGTCAATTCATTTCTCTTTTCATCTGCTCCAGTCTAGGCTGCAATAGGCTTTAAGCTCCAATTCAGTCACAGAGAAAACGTTACTAACAGTAAATGGGCGGCAGGTGGCGACAGAGTCAACGTTTTCGCACATGCCTTCAACCTGGTTTCCCACGCCATCAAAGTTTAGCTCACACAGCACCTTTAGATCACAGAGAACAGAACTATTTTGGAGATTCTGTAGATTATTGAACCTGCATTATTTAAATTTTCTTCAGAAATCGTTTAGATGGGTTTTTTTTTTTTTGGTCTTTTCCATCATCCTTTAACAATTCCAAAAATAATTTTCTCTTTTTGTATAATTGAAACACAAACATAATAAGACTGAGTCCAATTTCTTGTTGGTCGAAATGGACACGCGGGTATCATTGCAGACATGGTTAAAGATTACTTTGAATAAATTTAGTCACAATGGGAAAAGAAAAAGAAACCACCGCTGGTCTGTGAATTAAAAGCATCTCCAAAATAGACGTTTGAAGAAAATACTTTGTCCTCTCTTTGACACTTTACTGAAAGGCAGTGTGATGGGCTCAGAATCCTACACTGAATCAGCAGTGGAGAAACCTATCAGTAGATTATGCTCTTCAATTTCAGGAATACTTAGGTGTGGTCTAAGGATTCTTTTTGATGCAGTCCTTCTCCTGAGAGAAACTTGACCATGTTGACTTGTGATATATTATTTTGCTGCGGATAAATTTTTCCCTTTCACTAGTAAACCTTAAAAGCCCCAACCAGTACAGGCTCGATGGCTCAGTGGTTAAAGTCACCTGCTGCCAAGCCCAGGGACACGAGTTTGGTCCCTGGGATTCACAGGAGCCACACAATGGCATGCAAACATGAACAGACAAACACACAATAAATAAATAAAAGTTTGTTTTTTTCTTTCAGCATCACCCCACCCCCGCAAAAAAAAAAAAAAAAAAAAAAAAAAGAAAAACAGACATCTTTTATTTGGGTTGGTATTCATTCCTGAAAGCAAAATTTCAGCGTTGTGAGTAATCTATTGAATATTTACCAAGTACCACACACACCAACATGTGTGCGTGTATGTAGCGGCCGTGTAGAATAAGGTTAAATATCATGGCTTGATTGTTGCCTGTGATATGAAAGCCACCGAACGAGCTTCTGAAGTGTGTTCCTATTTGCCTATCTATGCGTAAGGCTAAGTTATGTTTGCAGACTTGTGCTTTCGTTCTATCTGTCAGTCTAGGAAAGCACTGGCTGGGCACGGCCATCTGGCACAGGAGCTAAGATTTACCATTTGCATTTCCACAAACAGGCAGGACTTCATAACTATGAACTAAAACTTCATCAATGAGTTGGTGGATCATTCTTGCCCGAACTAGCCGTTAACTGGAGCTCTAGTCTCCTATGCTGCCAGCCACATCTGTGGCTGCGCACCTCACTTGTGATAACACCCCACTGTCACTAGGTTACAGTGTTCCTTGGGTCTGTTTGGATTGCTCTCAAATCAGTCATGGCAAGGGCAAACCGCATAAGTGCATTCAGTAGCTACACGAGAGAACTTAAAAATTGATAGAGGCAAAAGGATGCTTACCAGATACATACGGTGTGTTCTAAATGTATAACGAGACTATGAGAAATAAAATTTAAAAATAAAAATGTGGGAGTAGTAGTTAACTTTGTGTTATATATTTCAAAAGAGCAATATCAGATCGATGATAAATGATGGATAGATGAAAGATAGATAGATGGATAGATAGATAGATAGATAGATAGATAGATAGATAGATAGATAGATAGATAGAT